CCACTCTGGAAATCATAATCCAGTGAGTACTGTAGTCGTCCTAGTTCATGCTTCTCTGCCACCTGCTGCCCTGGCCCAGATGGTGTCGGCTCCAGCTCCTCCACTTCTGGCTGCACCTTAGGGAGCCAGGGGCAAGGGCAGGTGAACTCTTCCCCTGATAGTGATATCCACCCAGGCGCAGAAGCCAAAGGAGACTCACAGATCCCTCCAGCTATACCTGAACACTTGCAAGCTAAGCAGAGTCGGTGTTTGATTAGTGATGTCTGCCACAGGTGGGACTAGCCAGGGCAACACAGTGTGGTACGTCTGTCAGTGTTTTATTAGTGATGCCTGCTACCGGTGGGGCATAGACGTGATGACACACATGCAGTGTGCTTGTCATGTCTAGACTAGAAAAACAAGCACTGACAGTGTCTCATTGCCTACAGGACGGATGCAGATTTTAGTTCACACATTAATGGATGTATTGGGATGACTGTCCAAATTGCCACATTGATTAGTGATCTTGCACAGAAAATATGGAGGAAAAATGGCATATTTAGTGTGTATTTGCCATTCTAAACTAGAACAACAAAGTCAGAAAACTTCTTAACCTAAGCCACCGATTTTCAAAATGCAATGTGAATCAGAATTCCCCTGAGTAGTGTGGTAAAATGCCTTCACTTCAGAGATTCTGATTCCTTAGGTCTGGCACAAGATCCAGAATTTGCATTTCAACAAGTACCTGAACTGATTCTGATACTGACTACTGACGGTCTTTGGAGTCACTGGGTTAGGGGAGAGGGATGGAGACTGGATACCAGGGCCCTAAAGGACACCCCTTAAGGGTAATAATTATAACAGCTATTTGTTGAAAAGGGAGGTAAGGAAATACTAGTTATGGTCCACAAACTTGAGGCTCAGAGACAAACAGTGAATTTCCCAAGGTCACAGAGCCAGTTGCTCTGGGTTGGAAACCTAGGACTCTGGCTCCCAGGAGAGCCTCATTCCACTCTGCATTCAGAGGCCCAGTGCTCAGATACTTGCACCTGTAGCTTTCCACGCCAACGACGTCTTCCAACTCGCGTTTGCTTCAACCTCTCAAGGCTGCCATACAGCCTCCTCCCTTGTCTCCTTGCCCCAGACCTGTCCTCCACAAGGGTTCCAGGGGATTCATCCCAAAGCCCATGTGACCTTGTGCCTCTCCCACTCAAAACTTCTGTGGCTCCCAATCACCTTCATTACATGGGTACTGCTGAGCTCTCCAGAAACCTCACCCTAGAGCACAGGATATCTGTATGCTATACCCCAGCTATTGTGAAGAATGACTCTTTGTTCTCCAAATATCCCTCAGAATCAGGATTCCAGGCCTCAACACATGCTCCTCCTTTGAGGTAGAATGTCCTTCTCTCTGCTCTCAGTTAATTCTGAGTTCCTTTGGGTCTCAACACAGAAGTCACCTCCTCCAGAAGCCTTCTCAGACCGCCTAGGCTGTCAGGTGGTTTCTCTGTACTCCCATATGCCCTGTACTGCCTCTAATGTGGCACATACCACTCTGTATTTTGAATGTCTACATGAGCATCTGACTTCCCCATCAGACTGGAGGTTCTTGTGAATGTCTGGTCTATCTCCAGGTCCCCAGGTCCAGGTTAGGGCTAGACACACAAGGGAGATGAGCAAATACAGCGGGTGTAGGAGGGATGGAGAAGGGACTGAGGCTGCTGGGCCATTGAGAGGAGTAAGGGTGAAGGAAGGAGCAGGGCTGAGGGTCTGGGCCAGGCCACACCTTGTCTATGTAACTCCGGCCCAGCTCCTTCACTTCCTGAAGGTGGACCTGGGCTTGAGCCTGGCTCTTCTTGCCCATCCGCCTCCGACAACGCTCCCGGTAGAGACAGAAACAGCAGCTGAAGACGAGGAGGCCTGAGACCAGCACGATGGTGGCCAGAGCCCAGGGGGGCACTGCAGAAGACATGGAAACAGCAAACATTGAGGCCCTGAGAGACAAGAAGGCTGATTCATTCTGTATGACACGTGTCAGCTGAAATCCTGGCCTTGTTTCTCCTCCAGCCATTTCCATTCCATTTTATTCCCATGTTTTCCTTCCAACTGGTCTCACATATAAAACTATTTGAAGACCTAAGGCAGGCTGACACCATCTAGGTTTTCTTGCCTATTAGGATTAGTTCCACCTCCTCTTCTAACCCCATTCTAATCTTTTTGCTCAACCGCTGTGTTTTAGAAGGCTTAACTCTTCCCTGGGCCTCAGTCTTCCTCTTTAAAAGAAGGGAGAGGTGGACCTTCCAATTCACCAATCCACAGTTCCATTCCATTCCACACCCCTTGATTTGGTTCCTGATTTTCTTGCAAACCTGTTCCTTTTTCATTTCATTTAGATTCCAATCCAGGATGCCGACTATAATCTCACCCGTATTTTCCAGCCCGCCAGCCTGAATACACCCGTTTGAACCCCGCCCCTGGGAATACTAGCCCGGCTTTCCCTCCGCTCCACCCCGGGTTTCGCTCACCAGGGCCGTGGCTGATGCGACTCGAGTCTGGAGGCGTGTCGGTCGCTGGAGGCCCCGGTGTTGGGGGCTCCGGGAACATGGCGGCGGGGTCTTACTGTTCTTTCTGCGGAGGCACCCAAATGCTCTAGTCCCCCCCACACCCACCCCGTGCATCCGTCGAGCCATCCGAACAACAAGGAACTCCAACTCCCATGGGCACCCTGGGCCGTATGGTCCCGTATGGGAACCTGCCAACCGCCGCGAGGCATGCTGGGGGTTGTTGTTTCAGCCTTCCTGCGACGGAGGGCGAGGGCTGGGGGTGGATTCCAGGACCAAGTCTCATCCCAAGGGACGCCCCCTCCCTCCAAGGCCTCCAGGAATCCAATCCCGCTGACTTCTGTCCCTTCCTTGCCCTTCCCCGGGGCCTGAACCGGAAGTGGGCGAGGGCGGGCGTGGGAACCAGCGCACCGGGTTGCCCAGAGCAACGGCTGGCTCCGCGAGGGCGGGGGGAAGGGAGGGCTGGTTGCCCCGGCAACGGCCTGTTGCCAGGACAACGGGCGGGGCTGACGCACAGAAGCCGAGTCCCAGAGGCGCAAGTTGGTTCGGTTCCCCGTCCCACCTGGGACCTCAGACCCGGATACCCCTGACAAGAGAAGATGCGGAGGACGCGGCCTTGCCCATGCGTCTGTCCACGAGCCCACAGCTGGCTCCTCCCTCCACATCTGGCCCTGGGAGTGAAGACTTAGGCTGCCCTCCCTCTCCCACTCTTGCGGGGAATGTGAGGGGCGGGCGTGCTGCCTTGGCTGGGACCCCACATCCTTTTCAGCCTGTTTGTCTCTTCCGCGCACCCTGAGCTCTGTCTTCACACCTGTCTTCGTGGCCGCCTCGGCCTCCATTCCTCTCTCGACCCCACATCGAGGTCCTTCTCCCCGTCGGCTTCTCGCCGTTCCTCCGTCTGGGTTGTCTGATCTCAGTCTACCGGGGTCTCGCACTCTCTTCCACTGCCTGCTCCTCCCTTCCCTCTGGCTCTTTGTCTCCACACCTGTCTCTAAATCCCATTCTCCCCGTTTCAGGCTCCAGCCCTCCCACTCCATCTGCTGGTCTCTCCCAGTGTCCCCGCCACCACACACACGCGCGCGCGCGCACACACACACACACACACACACACACACACCATCTCTCTAGGGATGGAAATGAGGATGGGGCTTAGGGAGGGGGTTCCAGTGGCTCCTACCTGCTCGGTGGCTAGACAGGACCCTCCCGAGAGATACCGAGGCGCCGGCCCCGCCCGGACCCCGCCCCCGCACGCGTGTGGCTGGCGCTGTCCCGGGTGCTGATCGCGGAGCGCTGTGGGGCGGGGGCTCGGCCGAACGGAGCCGGCCCGGGGTGTGTATGTGTCCGTGTGCGTGTGTGTGAGCGTGTATAGGTGTGTGAGAGAAAGCCTGAGAGTGTGTATGTGTGTGTGCGCGTGCGTGTTTGGAAGGTGGAGAACCCCGCCCCGGCCCTTGTCCCGCCCCAGCCTGGAACCACCAGGGCGCCCACGGATATTTATCCTGGTCCCAAGGATTTTCTGACTTCTAGTCCAGCCACCTGGCATACAGACCCCTTCTCCCCACCCCAGACCCCGGGACTGTCCATAGAACCAGGCTCCAGGATATGGGGTTCTAGGACCCAGAAGACTCTCTCCGGAGACCCACCTATTCCGATATCCAGACAGGAGACTAAGCGTGAAATTCTCCAGCAAATCCGATACAGACTTCACTCCACCCTCCAGGTTCCCCTAAGGCCGGGCCCAGAAGGCAAGCCCCCATGCTCCTAGCTCTAGGGACGCGAGTCCACACTGCCCAGACCCTAGACCTACAGCCTTCTCGGAGAGACTCAACTGTCCAAACCTACATTTTTCAGGTGCAAATTGTGAGTCCCTCTAGTTTCCTCCCTAGGACGTTGGCCTCAGTACCCAAACATCAGGAACCCACCCCAATATTATTTCCAGACCCAGAAATCCAATGGGGCAGGCGTCTCTGGGGAGAATAGTGAGTTAATAAATTATGGGATAAAAGAAAAAATATGTACCGGCAGTGGGGTGCAGGGAAACCTCAGATCCTCGAAGGTTGACAATTCAGTTTCTGGAGTAAAATATGGGCAGCATCCTGCCGCGCCTGCCCTGGCGCCTCGGGTGTGGCCACAATTCTGGACACTCACTAATTCCTTTCGTCCTCAGAATTCAGCTCGTTTCCTTGAGACCCTGCGGCCTCTTCCTCCCTCAAAAAGCAACAAGGAAATCCTAGATCCCCTCCCTCTCCTTCTTCAAGGAACTGGAAATCCAGGATCTGGGCCCCCACCTGACCTCTCTCCCCTTCCGGAAAGCAGGAATTTAGGCTGCCAGCCCCCTCTTCCTGCAGGGCCCAGGAGTGTGGGACCCCAGCCCTCTGCTGTCCCAGGGGTCCAGGTATCTCGGGTAAAGTAGGGATGCAGAATTTGAGTCTAGATGGGCTGGGGTCTCAGCCCTCCCACAACTTAGGCCTCTGTAGGAGCTACATTCTCGAAAAGCAGGTTCTCATAGGTGGGCCCCTTCTCAGCGGGCACTGGGGATGACTGTTGCAGAAACCTAAGGGTGCACTGGTGCAGGAACACATACTGGGCCTGGGGACAGAGCACGGGCAGGGGAGGGTGCGCTACTGAGCCTCGGCCTGCTTTCCTCTGGGGCCCCACCCCACCCCACCCACCCTGTGCCCGAGGATCCCCATCACCTCAGTCTGCACCATATGTGGCCGGCTTTCTCACATCTCCATCATGTAGCTGAAGGGCCCCATGAGACCCTCACACTCCAGCTGCCGCAGCAGGACATCCAGGGCAATGAGGGTGCCCGTGCGGCCCACGCCAGCGCTAGGCAGGGACAAGAAGGGTCAGACCACGAGAGAGGGAATCTCAGCTGACTGGAGGGATCTGTGTTTGGAGCACCCAGGGGTCAGGGTATTCAGTGAGACCATTCTGGAGGCTACAGTGTTAAGTGGGGGTTACTTAATTAAGTAGGAAGTAATAACAAATGACTGTGCTCTGTGTTCTATCTATCTGCTAGGCCCTGTTCCAGGTGCCTTATGTGCTTTTTTCACTCCTCCCACTCCTAAGAGGTAGGAACCATTAGTTGAGCGTGCCCATTTTACATACGGGGCAATGGAGGCTGAGTGAGGTGAAGTCGATTGTCCCAGGCCACTCAGCTAGTAAGTGACAGAGCTAGGGTTCACACACGGGAAGATAAGCTCCCAAGCTTGTCATTTAAACAAAAAATTTAGGGCTTCCCTGGTGGCGCAGTGGTTGAGAGTCCGCCTGCCGATGCAGGGGACACGGGTTCGTGCCCCGGTCCGGGAAGATCCCACATGCCGAGGAGCGGCTGGGCCCGTGAGCCATGGCCGCTGGGCCTGCGTGTCCGGAGCCTGCGCGTCCGCAACGGGAGAGGCCACGACAGGGAGAGGCCTGCGGATCGCCAAAAAAAAAAAAAAAAAAAAAATTTAAACATGAAAATGACCGTTTTATTTTTCATTAAAAAAAATTTATTTTTGGCCGCGCTGTGAAGCTTGTGGGATCTGGGCCCTCGACAGTGAAAGTGCTGTGTCCTAGCCACTGGACCACCAGGGAAGCCCCCAAGGAGCTGTTTTAAATGTTTCTTAAAACCTTTGGCTGCCTCTCCCTCCTGCTCTTCACCCCTCCTCCCTCCTTCTCCCCACGCATGCCTCCTCCTCTACCTCTTTTTCTTTCTTTACCTCTCTTCACCTTTATCATCATTCTCGACCTGCGTCACCACCCCTTCACCTTCCGCCCTCCCCGTCTCCTCCACCTCCTCTAGAAGTTCCTAAGGACCCAGAGAACCCTGGTTTCTGAGCCCCAAGGGGGCGGTTTCCTCACAGGCAGAGGGCTCTGGCTGGTCCTCACGGGCAGTGTACAATGGGCGGGCCTCCCCCCACGGCCTGGTCCAGCCACTGCCAGAGCATCTTCCAGAAGGCCAGCAAGGGGTCTGGGGAGTGGGGGACGCCATGGTCTGACCAGGTCACGTACAGGAACTGACGCACAGATGAAGTCTTCTGCTCTTGCATCTAGACGGAGGGTAGTTGTGGGGAGCTCAGGACCCGGGGGCTGGCTTCTGACCGGTGGGGACATCCCTGGGGCACATTGCGGTCCCTTGCGGGAGTGGCGCAAGCTTAGACTTCATGGGGGGGGGCTCTGGGGGGGAGACTGTCTGGAATATCGCGGGGGAGGAGCTGAAGCTCAAGGCGGGGCTGACGGGGTGGGGAGGGGGCTTACATGCCAGAGCTTCCGGTTCCGTACTGTCCAGGTCTCCATCACCTCCTCACCCACCAGGCTCACTTGTAGGTGCCCGTGGGTGCAGGGCTGGGCGTCTAGAGGCCAGTAATGCTCATGCTTCACCTGGGGGAAGACCGGGGCGGGTCAGAGTACAGGGGGCCCCAGAGCACCCTCCCTGGTGCCCCTCCGCAGGGTGGCTCTTGTATTCAGTGCCGGGGAATCCCCCCTGCTCTGGTGACAAGGCAGGACCCACGGGCAGCCAGGTGTAGATTCATCCCAGCCGGGAGGACTCTTCTTTCCTAAGGTCCTTGAGATCAGCTTCACCCTGTAAGTGGACAAATGGGTGGACTGGGGGAGACAGGAAGGTTGGGGCTGTGGTGGAGGGAATCAGTGAGGTCTAAGTCAAGGTCTACCCTGGGATCAGTGTCTGGGGCAGGGTCACGGGCTGGAGCTCAGGGGTCAGCACCCAGGACCCAGGTGTCCTCTCACCTGGGCAGACTCCACGCAGTTGGTCAGCATGAGCAGTGTGGGGCTCCGCTGCCCCTACACCAGGCACCAGAAGTCGCCCACAGTGTGGGGAAGGGGGCCCTGGACTGCAATGAACTCCCGGAGGCTCCAGAGACCCTGGTTGAGGAAAACAGGTAGGTCACGTCCCGCCTCATCTGGCCCTTGTCTTCCAAGGCTCATTCAGCATCCTCCTGGCTCCCAACCGCAGTCTTACAGGGATGCAGCTGGCGTTGATGTATTCAGAGCCCAGCTCCCCAGGGAGGGGCGTCAGGGGCACATGGGACCAGTCATCTAGGGGAAGAGGCCAGCATTAGCGATGCAGGGGGCAGGGTGGGAGACCCGGGGATAGAGGTCACGCCGACACGTCACGCTGCACACAGACAAGGGGAGCTGGGAGAGGGTCTGAGGGACCTCGGGCAGGAGGAGCCGGCCTGGGGTTTCTCAGCTCATGGGGGCAAGAGCTTTGTTCCTCACGGGTAATAAGGGGCAAGGGTCAGGCCTGGGATGTTGACAAAGTCATGGCTGATAACAAAGTCAGCAGAGGCTCGTGACTCACAGGGCAGCACGTTTCTGTAACGGTTCTTGGCGCTGTTCTCCGGAGCTGAGGCCACCGTCTGGGACTGGCTGTGGTCCTCCGGGGCCGGCTGCTGGGGGCGAAGCGAGGGGAGGGTGCACAGATGCTGGATTTTCTCTGCCCTCCCCCAGGGATACCCGCGTTGCTCCCTCCGCCTTCCTAAGGGCCACCCCACTCACCCCTTACACCCTGGAATTCTGTAGCACCTACAGAAATAGGACGAGTAGGACTTCCCTGGTGGCGCAGTGGTTAAGAATCTGCCTGCCAATGCAGGGGACACGGATTCGAGCCCTGGTCTGGGAAGATCCCACGTGCCATGGAGCAACTAAGCCCATGAGCCATAACTAGAAGAAGCCTGCACACAGCAACAAAGACCGAACGCAGCCAAAAATAAATAAATAAATAAATTTATTTTTTAAAAAAAGAAAGAAAGAAATAGGACGGGTGTGTGCACCATCCCCGGGGGGCATTTGGGAGGAAGGGCAGGAGGATGGGGACTGGAGAGGTAGGTGAGAGGGGAGGGGCCAGGGGAAAACCAAGGTGTTGCTTTAGGATTAACCCATCCAACCAACACTACAGTAAGAGTTCAGTGAGTCAAGAAGGTGGATAATCATGGCTGAGAATTTCTGTGTGAGCCAACCAAGTATGTATCCCTGCTTCTGTTCAATCCCAAAGGGGTGGAAAGGTCTCCGTGGGCACGTGGGGCTCGGCTCGGCCCCCTCTGTTCTCACCCGACCTGGTACTCCTCAGCAAAGCCACAGCCGCTGTCCTTCTCATGTTTCCTGACGTGGTCGGCAAAGTCTTCAGCCAGGATGTCCCCTGGGAAGCTGTGGGGGAAGAGGGGCACATAACCTCCTTTAACCTTGTGCGCTTGGGATAAAAGAAAAGGATTTTGTGTTTTGTTTTCTTTTTTTTACCTCCCCAGGACTTATTTATCTTTTAACTGGAAGTTGGTACCTTTGATCACCTTCACCCATTTCACCTTCTGCCTCTGGTAACCACCAGTCTGTTCTGTGTATCTATGAGTTCGAGGTTTTTTTAATTTTTAAATTTTGGCCACGCCGCACAGTTTGTGGGATCTTAGTTCCCCGACCAGGGATCGAATCCGGGCCCCTGGCAGTGAAAGCACTGAATCCTAACCACTGGACCCCCAGGGAATTCCCTCGAGTTTTATTTTAGAGTCCACACACAGGAAGTCCCCTGCATACAAACCTTCAAGGTGCGTTCGCATGTCCAATCACATAAGGCGTGAGTGAAATGGCAGCTTGCCCTCTGTCTCCTATGGCTGAGGATCCTTCAGCTCTACCATCTCCCACCTCCTCTCCCTCCTCCAGTCAGTAACTCTTCTTGCCTGTTCACTCAATGCCAGCCCCTGTATGCCAGCTGTTATACTGTACTACTGTACTTTCCAAGGTACTGTTCTGTAAGATTAAAAATGTTTTATTTTTTTGTGTTTGCTTGTTTTTATGTATTATTTGTGTGAAAAGTATCATAAACCTATTACAGTACAGTACTATATAGCCAATTGTGTTAGTTGGGTACCTAGGCTAACTTTGTTGGACTTATGAACACAGTCTTGGAACGGAACTCATTTGTGTGTAAGGGACTTACTGTATAAGTGATATCTCATACAGTATTTGTCTTTCTCTGTCTGACTTATCTCACTTAGCATAATGCCCTCAAGGTGCATCCATGTTGCCACAAATGGCATTACTTCATTCTTTTTTATGGCTGAATAATATTCCATTCTATATGTATATTACACCTTTTAAAAAATTAATTTATTTATTTCGGCTGCGTTGGGTCTTTTGTCGCTGTGAACGGGCTTTCTCTAGCTGCAGTGAGCGGAGGCTACACTTCACTGAGGTGCGAGGGCTTCTCATTGCAATGGCTTCTCTTGTTGCGGAGCACAGGCTCTAGGCACACGGGCTTCAGTAGTTGTGGTGCACAGGCTTAGTTGCTCCGTGGCATGTGGGATCTTCCTGGACCAGGGCTCGAACCTGTGTCCCCTGCATTGGCAGGTGGATTCTTAACCACTGCACCACGAGGGAAGCCCTATATTACACCTTCTTTATTCATTCATCCATTGATAGACACTTAGGCTGTTTCCATATCTTGGCTATTGTGGGTAATGCTACTATGAACATGGGAGTGCAGATATCTTTTCAAGTTAGTGATTTTGTTTCTGATTCATCAATTCCATTTGTAGGTACATATCCAAAAGAATTGAAAGCAAGGTCTCAGATATTTGTACAGCCATGTTCATAGCAGCATTATTCACAGTAGCTAAAAAGAGGAAGCAAACCAAGTGTCCATTGATAGATGAATGGATAAAGAAGATTTGGCCTAACCATACAATGGAATATTATTCTTCCTAAGGAAGGAAAGAAATTCTGACACATACAACAACATGGATGAACCTGGAGGGCATTATGCTGAGTGAAATGAGCCAGCCACAGGAGGACAAATAAAAGGACAAATACGATTCCACCTATATGAGGCAGTCATCAAATTCATACAACCAGAAAGTAGAAGGGTGGTTTCCAGGGGCTGGGAGATGGGGGAAATGGGGCGATAGTGTTTGATGTGTACAGAGTTTCAGTTTTGCAAGATGAAAAGAGTTCTACGGGGAATCCCCTGGCAGTCCAGTGGTTAGGACTCCGCGATTTCACTGCTGAGGGTACAGGTTCAATCTCTGGTCGGGGAACTAAGATCCCACAGCCATGTGGCGTGACCAAAATAAATAAATAAATAAAGTTAAACAAAAAAAGAGTTCTATGGATGGATGGTGGTGATGGTTGCACAACAATGTGAATGGACTTAATGCCACCGAACTGCACACTTAAAAATGGTTGAGGTGGTAAATTTGTTATTTGGAGGTTATTTGTTTTTTTTTTTTAACCACAATCAAAATTTGTTTTGACTCAAAAAAAAGGAAAGGGTATTTCTTCTCCCACTTAGGACCACTGCCCTTCTCTGGGCCCCAATTCCCTGTGGCCCTCTCTAGCCATGGTTCTTCCCTCTGTGCTGTATCTCTCCCCTCTCCTCTTTCC